AAAAAAAAAAAAAAACGGAAGAATACCAACTTCAAAATCTGAAAAATGCTAAAAATGGTTAATCAGATATAATACAAAAAAAAATTGTAAACTTACTTTCATATTTGCAAACAATAACTGCGCTGAAAGAAGGTGAAGTGGCATTCCATCCTCCCGGTTCACTGTACGCAAAAAATAATTGTCCGTATAAGTAGCGCTGATCTGGTTCCCCTGCTTTCCAGTTTTCAAACTTTGATTTCTCAGCAGTTGGCAAAGTCCAATTACCAGAGTAAGATAGAGGAAAAAGCCAAAACGGATTTGATTCAGTGAAGTCTTAACGAGTAAAGTGGTTTACTTGGCTGAGTCGTTTTGCTCTTTCAAGCAAAAAAAAAGACATTGAATTTCTTATTCCTGTTCCTCGCCGCTGACGACATAAAGAACTATGGTTAAGAATAACGTATAGCCTATACCGTTCAAAAAATTTTGCTCGTCATTAGACGTAATCCACACTAAGTATGAGCCATAAGCAATGCAGATTCCTTGAGCAACACTCCAGTCAACTTTTTTGTCGTACTAAAATTTAAAAGTGGTCAGCATTTTTTAAAGTCGTATCCTACTGAACAAAGACAAATATATTCCACATTATTAAATATGATAAACACTTTTTTGGTTTTTTATAAAACCTTCATAACACCAATGTGACTCCTTCAGGCCGTAGAATACTTACAAAATTTTCCGACTTACAAGTTTATAACAAAAGTTGATGTACTAGGTAAAGCCTGGTCTGCACCATGTTTTCGCTGAAATTCTTAAATAAAAGCAACAAGAAATACGGGTAAAGGTTGATAAGTTAGCGATAAAGGCATACGTTCAAATTTGCAAAGGAAATTTAGCTCCAATTCGCAGTTTCCCCGACTCCAATTACCAATTTCGTTGACAAACATACACTTTTGAACACCGAATACCTCCTCCGTTACATTATACTTATTCCAATCAGTGTAGTTCACGGTAGTTGCATCCATCCAATTCCATTTCTCGTTTACCTGTTTCAGACCAATCCAATAATTTGCCGGTGCATATGCTTCTTAATATTCGATTGCTGTTCAAAAAAACTTTGCTATTCTTTCGTAATAAAGCCGAATATAACAGAAACTATAGCACCATAAAAACAATATTAAAATATCTCTTCAGAACAATAAAACTGTAGAGTACAATACATAGAAAGAAGCTTACCCTGCACTGTTCTGAATTCCGTTTTTGATGAAAATGACGCCAGCATACTATCCATTGTTTCACAGTAACGTTGAACGTTCTTGAAAGTTTCATTTTTTTCATTAATCTTAAAAACAGTTGGAACGGACTAAAATAGCAATGTAGATAAACCGCCACTTTTCATCAAAGCCAACTTAAAATTATTACGAATATTAATACAGTCTTTCTGTTACCAACATGAAGCATTTCTCTTCCTGTTGATGCCATTCAGGTGGGCACAAGAATCTTTCTGAAAGTTTTTGTTTTACCATTGAAGAATCTGTCGCGGATTAGGTACATTGCAGTTTTTCCTTTTTTTTTTTTTCATTTAGCTAAAGCGATGAAAGTGCAGAAGTCTGCTGTCATCTGTCGTGATTCAAGATGATTAACAGACAGCTGAAATCAGCAGAATAAAGGAGATTCACTTGTTTTATTAAACCACACTCGCATTTGCAAATATCATTTTAAAAAGTTTTCGAATAATCTTTGATGCAAATATTAATTTTTTTTTGTGAGAAAGAAAGAAAAATTGCTGGTTAGACTTTCTATGTTGTGAGAAATGAAGTAAATTTAACTTAACCGTAATGAGCCTGGTGATTTTTCACTCGTTGCCTCTAAAAATTAGTTTCTCAAATAAATTTGAAAAAGAGTTTAAGTGTGAAAGATTCTGCAAAAACTTAAAATTTTTTTCAAATTTGTAATAAATGCAACCTGTCTTCCACTAGTTTCTTGACTGACGAAATATTTTTTGCATGCAAATCTTTTGACGCTTTTTTCATCTGTGAAAAGAACTTGACCTGGAAATCTTGCTATCTTTTACGATATGCTGTCAATCAATGTCGTGCTTATACAGCTACAAATTACCCGACAAAAGCGTTTTCACTTAGCGTTAACTGCATGCACTATTTATTACTTTGATAACTAGAGATTTTAGCTGAGTCTTATAATTTTTAGCTTTTTTTAACTCCGTACGAAACTGCGCAAAAAGCGCAGTAACATCATAATGCTGCTATTTCTATAGTTTTTGCAACCAGATCTGTCTTCTCCATTTCTTAAATTATTTTATCTCTCAAAGTTCGATATCTGAATATGCTACTTTTTTTGGTTTTTTTCTTTTGTTTTCCTTAGCAAATTTAATTTACTAATCGTTATAGCTTTGTAAGTTTCAGTGGCAGACTCTTTTGAAGAATCTGAATGTTGTGAAGTGAAAGAAAACGACTACTGCAATTTTATGCAAATACTCGAAGTATAATCACAACTACTTCCTTACGTTAATAAGTAACAAGTTTATTTAATTAAAATAAAAACAGCACTTTTGTATTCGCAGATAGAATTCGCAGGTGTAAAGCAAGAACTGAAAATATATTGGTCCATCATGAATCTATGGCATTCCCTGCTTTCAGAATGACTTAGATAATGAGCTGCTCGTTCATCGTCATACAAGTAACCAGATTTAGTTTTTTTGAAACCAATATAGTGGTTAATTGTCTGATTCATTCCTAAAATTCATGAATAAAAACATTTATAGAAGAAACTGCCTGTCAGGATTTTCAAGACTTTATCATAATCAATTGGCCCATAACAGTTTTATTCTTTTGCCTAATTATAGTAATAAATTTCGCTTTGCATGAATGCTTTAACATGGTTTTTGCGAATTGAGCTTAAAATCTCGTAACTAAACCTGATTTACAATTTTTATTGTATTTCTGAACGCCGAAATTTCTGTTCCCTATCTCTACTCAATTTTTCTGCGATGCAATTAATTTGTAATTACACTAAATTTTTTCTTCTTAACTACTTACTCTTTGCTATAACTTCACAACAAAAGAGATTTTCTTTTTTTGTCATCTTCGTTTAGATAAATAATTTTTCAAATAATAACAGATATTGGAAAATAGTTAGCGTAGTGGATTGCAGCCTACTTTTTAATTGCCTAAAATCTCCGAGTGTATAAAAAGTGGCCAATAAACCACGTTGCCAGGTTCTGCAAAATTTATCGTGAAACTCTCGGTTTCCCTGCTCTTTTACCTGAAAATCCTCTTGAATATATAACAGCAAATCTTTTATTAAAATAGCAAGTCTATTGGTGGTTTGAAATGGCAGGTCTATTGGTGGTTTTAGTAAAAACTAATATGCATTTTTCAAGTAAAATTCTGGCTAATTTTTCTGTCAAAAAGTATAAAACAAGTTAAAAGCCTAGCAAAGTGATAGCATATTCCTCCAACGAAAATCCATGTCAGATGACATAAATATTGCTCGTCTGTAAATGAAATATGTTATGTGGAGTTTCAATAAAGCACAAAGCATTAAAATTGATCATAACGTTAATGAAGGCTTAACATTAAACCAAATTTACTATTGAAATCTTCCTTTTTTGTATAACAGTTTCAGGCAATATTTTACTAAACGGTAGTAAAACCCGAGCAAGATTGTTGTTTAAAGTGTTTCAAAAGATCTAGACCTTCTTTAGGATGTGGGAGCCGAAACTTAAGCTCTCCATATTTTACTGACGTTCTTTTCAAATTGGCATCTGCTAAATATCTCAGGAAGTCTCTTTCAACTGAGCCTATAACGACGTTAGGTTGCTCACTTCTCGATGAACCATAAAGTTGTTCTAAAAGTTCATTCGTAAAAAAATTAAATCTTTTTAGTGATAAATAAGTACTTAAGAGGATAGCACAGTGCTAGCTTTCCAGAAATTATATTTTGAAAATCATCTTTTTAAAGATTAATTTTTATGTTTAAGGATTATAAAAACTTAGAAATTAATTGACTTCTGTTTGATACTTCACTCTTTAACTTTATCGACGAAAAGGCCAAAGATGTCTTACACTGGACTGCGCAGAACTCACCGTGCAAAAAGATGAATTCCCTTACCAAACTTATCGACAAGAACCGGCTGCGGAAATGGCGATAACAGTACTTCTGTGAATCTTCAAAGGAGATAGATTTTTTACCTTTCACCTAAAAAAACCGAGATTTACTGACGCGTTCTAAAACTGCCAGTTCAGTGTTCAAGATAGAGCCGGCTTTATTATCTCTACTAGTCATATTCTTGTAAGATCTGTGGTTTGCTGAGTCAGTTACTTTAGTCATTTTTGACTTTGCTGTCGTCTTGTCCATCAGCTTTGTTCAAGAGAACATAACGTAATGTTTCTGACGAGTTCTAACGTTATCAACGGAGATTGAACGTTTTTAACGCGTACTTTGACGTCAAACAAACAATAATGCCATTTTCCATTACGTTCACTGACAACTGAGGGCTTTTTAACCACCATTTCCCCATCTCTTCATCGTCGAAAAATCGAGGACACTTTGCCGAATCGTTTACATCTGTAAATCTAACCCCACCTGTTTATAGGATCATTAATTTTTGTGATTGATTACACGTTTCGCAATTGTTCTCTGTTACTGCTATATTTTCACCAATTTTTTAAGTTTAGTCCAAGATGAATAAGACAGCAGTGGAGAGCAACAAGATGAAAGAATAAATGCATGAAATAAATATCAAAATTTCGTCAGAATTTCAACAACCTCTGTTGGGAATAAGATGGTCACATTTTTCTCTCTGATTATGTTACAAGCATCAGTAACTTTGATTTTCACAGAAGAAAAAATAAAAAAACCCAGATTTTGGAAAAAAAACTGTCAGTCAACTTATCAATTGCTTTATATCAGTCGTCTAGACTGCTGAAGACGGTAATTATGTGGCAGCTCTATCGTTAAACTTTAATGAAGACTTTCGGTTGGTTATGAATTAGTTTTTTATAGGTACTAATAACCGAATTTGTTTGCTTTTAATCTGCTATACGGTTAGTAGGTTATTTAGTAAGTAGAGAATAAACAATAGTTTCTAATAAAGAAAAGCTTCAATTACTATCAAATTCCTCAAGGATTACTCATTGGGCACGAGTATAGATCCCAGGATTCCCTCCACTTTCTATTATCAACAACAGCAATTATATCTTTGCAAATGATCTCAAACTTTCTCGTTTTCTCTGGAAAGATGGCGGGAATGAAGACATACTGATGAGCAATTTACAATGTATCCAAGTCTGCTCCAATCAGTAGTAGCTAACTTTGCTTACAACTACTGTTGCACAATTCAGTAAAAAATAAACAGCAGCTCCAAAAATATCGTCATGAAGAGGATACTCTCCAAAAATCCGAAGGTTTTTCGAGGCAGGAACTATTTCAAATAAAAAATAACGTTTGTATAGCTGCAATAATTAAAATCGAAAAAATGGTCTTACAGTATGCCTGCTTATCGCAAGAGGGCTGAAATTATTTACTTGTTATTTCTTTTAGGAACAATGTCTAGTCGGGACCCCCTTATTTTCCCAGCACAAAATTAGAAAGTATGAAACTTTTCAACAATACTCATTCAAAAATAAATTGATGATTGCATAAGCCAGAAACTGTTATAAATCAATAACAAACTTCGTTATAACACCTCTCGTTAGAAGGACCTTCAGTGTCTGCGCAACGTCTATCGCCTTCGTCTTCCGCTAAAATACATCTCCGTTTTAGAACCAATCGATTTTTTTGGTTTCTTACATTAGAGTAGTGAACCAAGAAAAGAGTTGGATTATTGGGTCTCAACAAAAAAATGTAGCTAAGTTGCTTCAGTTTGCTTCGATTGCTTTGATTGCCTTGATTCAGATAGATACGCAGGTAACCATTACAAATCACACCAATTTCGAACTGTTACCAGCATAGCTTCGATATTAAATCATAAATTCAATCTCCTTACTGTTTTAAAGAATGTTTATCCAGTTGTAAAAATAATGCATAGTTAACCTCTAATAATGCAAACGACTTCTGCGCATGTTTCGCTATTGACT